GTAGTTTTTAGTCATTTTTGGTTGATTTTGCTAGGCTTTAAGAGAAAGAGGCTTGGCCAACTTTATTCCCATTTTATCCCAGATTATAATTTCTCTCATTTTCAAAATAATTTAAAAATTCCTTTTAATATTAAAAACAAAACAAAACAAAAAACAAACTCCAGAGTCTCGCTCTATTGTCCAGGTTGGTCTCAAGCCCCATGGGCTTAAGGGATCCTTCTGCCTCAGACTCCCAAGTAGCTGGGATTACAATTGTGTGCCTTACTTGAGTGTTTAAATCTTAACAATAATCCTGTGTGACAGACACTATTATTATCTCCATTTTCTAGATCATGAGGGCAGAGACATATAGCTAGTAAGTGGGAGCCTGAATTCAAACCCAAGGCAGGCTGTGTTTGGAGACCAGCTTTTACCACTATTTTAGCAAAAATCATCTAGAGTTTAATGAAAATAGAACCAAATGCTATTGATTTTTAAAGTTGTAAAAGGATAAGTAACTTTTTATTTATTTAAATTTTTCTATAAATGGACTTATACTAGCTTTGCAAAAAAATTTTTTAATAAAAATTTTGAAAGTTTTATAAGAGAAATCTTGGTTTAAATGTTCTAGAACTGTCTTCAAAGAAAGTGTTTAGATGCCGAGTTACCTGATGCACACATAGATACATAAAATGAAAATTATATTTCTGTTCATGTATCTTTTCTTTTTCAATAAAGTATATTCACCGGAAAAAAAACAAAACTCACATGACCTGCCTGCTCTCTACAGATATTTCTGATCTTTGATCCCTTGAATTAGCCAACAAACTCTCTGCTTGTGAAAACAAATCAGCTTCCTCAGGAATATGCATAAATTTTTCAGTGTCAGAATTTTGTTGTCTTTTATTGTCTTTTAGAATTTGTAACAAATTTGAACAGATACTTTTCCCAAAGAAAACATACAGATGGCCAAATAGTCATGAAAATGTCCTCAGTATCACTGATGATTACAGAATGTAAGCAAAGCCGCAGCGAGAGCTTTCCAGAGACTGGGGGGGGGGGCAGAATTAAAAAGATGGACCAAATTGAGCTGTGTGAAGGCTGCGGAACAGCTAGAAATTTTAAGCAATTGGAAGGTAAAGTGATTCATCTATGTTGAAAGAAAATTTGACTGCTTCTTAAGATGTCAAGGATACATTTATGAGAAGACCTAGCCATTCCACCTGTGGGTAATAGAGATCCATGCAAAGACTGTCTGCAAATGTTTATGACAAATTTATTTATAACTGTCCCAAACTAGAAAACAGCACAGATGTCCAACTATGAGTAAAATAGGTAAACAAGTGCAGTAACCATACAATTCTATCACTCACTCACTCACTCACTCAATCAATCAATAGCGAACTACTGATGTGCACAACATGGATGGATCTTAAAATATACCATGTGAAAGAAGCCAGACAAAAATACTCAGTTTATATAAAATTACAGGAAATATGAACCAGCCCAGAAGTAGAAAATCAGTGATTGCTTGAAGAATTGGTATAAACAGTGGAGAGGGGAGTACCCCAAAGGGCACAAGGACATTTGGGATGCTGGTCACGTTCATTATCTTGACTCTAGAAATGGCAAATTCCACAGATCTGAGTTTTCAACCAAACTTAACAAATTAAAATTCATCAAATTATATGCTTTATATACAATATATGTTTTAGTTTAGTTATGCAGCTAATAATGTACCAGTTCTATCTCAATGAAACAGTTAAAAACAAGCCCATGTAAAGTTTTATAAGTTCATTAATGGCTCAGATATTTACTTTGCAGTGTACTACTTACAGTGAGTAAACAGCTGTTCATGTATTACATGTGGCTGATCTTTGACTCTTGAGTTACAAATACCACAAAATTCAGGCATTTACAAAAGATTTATCATCCGGTCTACTATCATCAGAATCCTCATCCACAAATCACTTCTTACAGAGATAAAAGAAGACATTTCCCTTATGTTCAGTCAACATAAATGAAATATTCATTGGAGATGATAGTTTGTTGAAAAGGCAACATAGTAATCAATCTAGTTTACTTCCAATGTCTTAAGTGAAAAATCAGATAGCTACACTTGCTATTGATTCATAACTCACTGCAAAATACAATCATGCCATCTGTGAAAAGTCATCAGTCACATCTGTGTTTGTTTCTCATAAAAGACAATCTAAGGAACCTTGGTTTAAACAAGTAGGAGTTTGTTTTAATCACAAAATAAGAAACTGATGATGGATAAATCAAAGCTGGTACAATTGCAAAACAGTGACTTTAACATTGATACTGAGTTTCTTCCCATGATGCACCTCAGCTTGTGAATTGAGTCCTTGTTCTAACACTGATTAGGAAACTACATACTATGCTGATGTCCCTGATAGGTGCATGGACCACCTGACTGTAGTTAGCATAAATCTTAGTTTTCCTAAAAAAGCTGCACAGTACATTTTCTCATACTTTCCATGGTCAGACGGTGACAGCCTTACTAGATAATGGGGTTCTGTTTTTCTTTAGTTACTTGGACCTTATTCCTTTAAAAATAAATTTTCTGGCTTTTCTATTTAGCTATTTTATTTTTGAGTTTTATGATTTTTAAAAAGCTTATTCTGGAGTAATGAACTATCACAAAGATTTGTGCTGTATTTTATTCACCCTGGTCAGCATCTGGTGCGTGTTTTCTATCTGAAATCTGTTTTCTCCCTTTAGTGTCTAGAGATTTTCTTCCATTGTGTCTTGAATTAACTTTTCATTTCCTATGGCACATCCTTCTAGAGCAGATATTACTTGGAGTTGCCTTGCTTGAATCAGATTTCACTGTTGGCTAAATTTTGCCACATTATTCTCTTTGCCATATGTTTTACACTTTTTCTTTTTTAATATTTTATTTATTATTTTTATTTTATGTGTATGAGTGTCATGCCTGCATGTAGGTAAGTGCACCCGTGTCGTGCGATGCCCGCAGAGGACAGAAGAGGCTGTCAGATCCCCTGGAACTGGAGTTACGGACAGTTGTTAGCTGCCATGTGGGTGCTGGGATTCGAACCCGGGTCTTCTGCAAGAACAGTCCATGTTCTTAACCGCTGAGCCATCTCTCCAGCCCCGTGTTTTACACTTTTTCAACATTAGGTTTCAGGCTAGTCATTTTTTGTTGATCATAATTGTATGATTATTTAGCTTTCTCACTCAATGCATAGATTTCAGAACATGTGTTTCCCAAGAGCGTCTTTTTTCTTTGTGATGTACTCATTGTTACAATGGTACATTCTGACCCAAAGCAGTCCCTTAAAACTTTGAAAATAAGAATAAAAGTATTTTTAAACTCTTTTGAAATGGAGGCCTAATTTACAATTAATGCATCATACTTGGGTTTACCATTCAACTAGTTTTAGCAAATGTGTTCCCTAGGAAAGCACAGTCAATGAAAGAAGAGACAATTCCTGTCACCACAACAGTGTCTCTCATGTCTTTGTCAGTGTTTGGTCTTCCTTTCCTTTACAGGAAAGCCGAGCTGTGATCAGATCTCTAACACCTTAGGTCAGTTTCACCTCCCATCTAAAGAGAATTTTAAAGACAAGATAGTCTTTTTTATCTGCTTACTTTCATTCATAACCATAATTGTAAGATTGTTTTCCTATTTGTTGTATGTAGTCTTGTTTTAATAAGTAACATTCCAATATATAAATAAGCTACTTCAGGGCATGTATGTTCACCTGATAGATAATTGAGTTGCTTCCAGTTTAGGCTATTAGACACAATACTGCCCTAGCAGTAAGGACCCCACTTAATTCAGATTGTTGCCAAATACCAACCACACACAACATCAGCACAGATTGCTCTTAAACTCAGCAGGGCATAATTTCATAGGTAAATCCAAAATAGCTAAATTCTATCATCAAAAACTACAGTCAGAATAGTTTTTTACTACAACCAGAATAGTTTTTTAATGCACATCCTGTGTGGAGGATGCTGTCAACTAAAGCTTAGTCTCTGTGGGTGAGCTCTCATGGAAAAAATAACTGACTACCATGTAAATATTTTTTTCAGTATCTACTAAGGTATAAATATTTAGTGTTCTCCAGTAACTTTCCAAATGTAAATATTTTCTGTGGAGAACATACTTTGGGGAAGTGCAGCACTGAGTGATGCAAATGCAGTGAAGTATCTTACCTCCCTCTGTAGAGCCACAAACCAAAGCCATCACCTAAGGAAACTATTGCAAAAGGAATCCCACAAGGTAGATTTCAACACTGTTGCAGGCAGACCTACAGCTCACTGGCTCTACAGGGTTTTCTGTAGAGCTGCGTTTTATTGATTTTTCAATTGATTGTTTTATGTTTCCTCTGCGATTAAGTACATTTAGATTCCCAAGAGTCCCAAATTGTTAGTGTGTTCATGTAGGTAAATAGATTTCACTTAACCTTAAGGTGTGCAGAGTAGGCAGAGAGAGCAGGACATGCTCTCCTCAAATGCAAAATCAATGAGAAAGATGAGGAACGCTCACTTCCCACTTCTAGTAAGCCTGGAGTCACTCTTCTTCTCACCCGTGTCTTTCAGTCCGACCCTGAAATTCATCCCCCTCCCCTCGCTTTACTAACAGCCCACCCACCCCAAGGCACTAAATCTATTTTATTTAGATGACTTTTTCCCATTTTTCCTGGGATTATATTTAAGGATTATCTCTATTTAAGGGAGATGGGGCGGGGGTCTGCCTTATTTGCGTTTACAAAGGTTCCTTAATTATTTGCCTCTGTCCATTCCTTTCTTTTTGCCCTTTATCACTTTATTTCTGTCTCTACCTAGAAATTTTCTCTGACCTTGCTCTTAAGAAGGGGTACTTATCCTCCACTTTCCATCTAGGAGTCACAGTCAGTTGGCCTCCTGTGGATTCTCTGCTGGGTTTCACTGCTGTGAAAAATTGGTTCCCTCTAAAATTGGTGTTTTTCTGCCATTCTTGGGGATTTGGGTGGGAGGAGAATCCAAAAGACTTAGTTTGCCACCTTGATTTAAATTTCTTCTGATGGTTCTTGAGTTCTATTTGTTTCTTTAAAGAGTTTTTGGTTCGTTTTATTTATTTATATTTATTTATGTATGGCAGGGTTTCTTTTTCTGATGAAGATATTTTATTTTTTATAAAAATATAATTGTACAGTGCTCTTCAGAGGAAAAAAATCATTCAGTACCCCCAAATACCTTGTGGTTTAATGATTTCCCTTCTTTTAACACACAGTGTGTAATTTGTAACAACATGCAGCTGATTTCTTGTGAAATATAGCATTTATTTTTGTTGGTTTTACTTGTCTTTCACTAAAAGTTAAAATTTTAAATATGTATGTTCTATAACTAGCCAAATCAAATCCATCACAGTTCAAAGATGATAGAGTTCTAGATGGGGATGCTAAGTGTTGTCCGTGCGCTGCCAACGGTGACATGGAAGGTGGTTCAGTTCAGGTATCACACAAAGATATTCAATTTTATGTTTTCCTCCACAAAGAGCATTCATGTCTTGATTTCAGTAGCATCATTAGACTGAAATGAATGATTAGCGTCATCATTCAGTAGACTACAGCAAAGAAAAAAGTCTCTGAGTTCTAGCTTTATGAATAAAACAAACAAAAAACTTGGTATCGTGGCTGGTTTATTCTACAAAAAATAATAGCAATAAAATTTGCTAAAAGGAAAAATTATTTTGATTCATGTTCGGACCCAGCATAAGTGGTGAGGATCTGACAGGGCAGCCACCTGGCCACGGCCACATTTGATTGGCAGCGTCTGCTGCCCTTGTACCTGTCATTGCTTAGTTCTACTTACCCTCACGGTTCTTATATAAAGGGCCTGGTTGCTCCATGTTGTCATCTGTGGTCTGGTAACAAGCATGTATTTTCTTTCTTTCTTTTTTTTTTTGAAACAAGGTTTTGCTTTGTAGCTCCAGCTGGTATCCAACTCATGATCCTAAGTGCTGAGGTTACAACCCTATGCCACCAAGCCTGATTTTATTTCTATTGATTAAAAAAGCCTTAGCTTTTCCAGAAATACTTGGGTAAGGTTATACTTATACCTTATTTGCCCACATTTGTCACATGATTCCTCCTAAGTGCACATGAGCCATAAATGAGGGTGTTTTGTTTATTTTGTTTTATTTTTTATTTAATACCTAACTGTAGAACTCAGCCAAGATAGTGTTAAGGCAAATAAGAGTTTGTGGCTGGCCAAAGCAATGTCTGATGTAGATAGAAGTCAGTGTCTGCTTAGAGTGCTTGACGTTCAGGGGCTCCCAGTGATGCAGCTATAGGCAGCTATAGGCAGCTGTCCATGTTCAGACAGCCATAACCTCACATCCAGCACATGTACCTCCCTACAGATGCAGTAGAATGCACAAATGCACTGGAGAGTATTTGCTAGAATAAGAATGTTTCTTTTATTTTTCCATTTAGCCAGATGATACTTCTCTCAATACCAACCTCTCCAATGGGTCCCAGGATGAAGGGAATTTTGTCGACCTCAGGAGTGGCTCCGTGGTAAGTCTTGTAATGTCAACACAATTGCATGTCAAGGCAACAGTGTTATAAGATAAGGAAAATGCTTTCTTCAAGATCAGTTAAGAAACAAAGCTTAAAGGATTTCAATTAAAATGGCTGCTGGTAGATCCACCAGCCTTGCAATAATTAGGAAGGAGACTTCAAACTAGGACATGAATAGACCTTGTTTTAGCCAAGCCGTATGGAGGAGGCTTGTAATCTCAGCTACTCAAGAGGCTGACGTGGGAGGTTGACAAGTTCAAGATCAGCCTAGGCAACTTAGTGGCATCCTCCTGTCTCAAAAAAAGAAGAAAGAAAAAGAGGGGCTAGAGAGATGGCTCAGTCAGAAAGTGCTTGCAGTATAAACAAGAGGATTTGAGTTTGATCCACTCACTTGTAATATTCCAGCACTAGGGAGGCAGAGACAGGCAGATTCCTGGGGCTTGCTGGCCAGATGGCTTGGTCAGTAAGCACCAGGTTCCAGTGAGAGACCCTGTCTCAAAAACGAGGTGAATGGCTCCTGAGGGAACACCCAAGTTTGACTTCAGACATACACACCTGCACACACACACACACACACACACACATAAAAATAATTACTAGAGTAAAAAGAGGGCTAGAGTGTAGCTCAGAGGCAGTGCACTTGTCTAGCATGTACAAGGCCCTAGGTTTAATCTCCAATACCATAAAACAACAAATAACCTGCGTTTGAAAGGAGACTGTGTTCATTAATAAGATTATGTTGGGAAATCAAATCTACATGTATCAAGTACGGAGAAAGTTTTTAATTTCCATTCTCCTGACAAAGTTCTCACAGACCACCTCCAAAGGCTCCCTGATGGCTTCACTTCCTCACCTTAACCTGGAAATCCCTTTATCGCCAGGGTGGGTGACAAAGCTCCCTCATGACATCATGGTGAGAGCCATTGCCTACATTTTTTTTTCCATTCTTAATTCTGAGAACTCACCTCTGCGAATTTTATCATTGCATAACTTTCTTCCCTTGACCTTGAATAGCAGAGATGTACTTTTTTAAAAAAACATTTTATTATTTTTATTTCATGTGTATGAGTGTATTGCCTGCATGTATGTGAATGCACCTGTGTCGTGCAATGCTGCAGAGGTTAGAAGAGGGCTTTGGATTCCGCTGGAACTGGAGTTAAGGACAGTTTGTAGCCACTATGTGGGTGCTGGGAAACGAACCTGGGTCCTCTGCAAGAGCAGTCAGTGCTCTTAACCGCTGAGCCATCTCTCCAGCCCCATACTTTTCTTTTTTAAAATACCTGTCATTCCCCTCTACTTATCTCGTTGAGAATCCACACTAAGCATCACTGAGTGGTTCTCTGGCACAGGTGATATAATGGAGCGCCCACAGAAGACAGTGAAAGACCCCATTAGATGAGGTCCTGGCCCTTTGACAAGTTGATGGAAGGCAGAAGTTAGCCCAGTAGATGCTTAGAAGAAATGGCACACCAGAATGTTTCCCTGGGGCAGTAGTTTCTCAGTCTTTGCCCTTTTTTGAAGGACAGAGTCACTGACATCCATGTATGACCCCTCCCAAGATGTACCCATGATTGGGAATACAGTACTGTTAACTCAGATGATCTCCAGCTCTTTGTTCTCATTTAAGAACATGTATGCAAGTGACAGAAAGTAAGACTGTCTCTGTTTTAGAGATCATGTAAAATCTAGCCTACTTATTAATGGGATCTCATTCACAAAGTTTGATAATTACTTGAATAAAGCGTTACCTATAATAGCGCTTACGCAGTTGTGCTGCTCCCCTGTGATGGAGAACTCCTAAGTCCTCATCCAGGATCCGCTATTTGCTGTCCAGCTGGTGGCACCCATCTGCCCAGCAGTCATCCAGTGTGTCTCTCTCAACCCTACCTACCTCTTGTCTCTTCATATCTATCCATAAGCTCGTGGATTTTATCAAATAAATGGCTGTGGGCTATTTGGACTCCTCCTCTTTGTACAGGCACTTCTTTGGTATAGAAACTCATGGTTATCTTCCTGCATTGCTGAATTAGCCACTGGTAATCTCCCAGACCTTAGATTCTTATTCCATAATCCATCCTTCCCACAAGCTGCAAGTCATATATAGAAAGTGTAAGTCATGCTTGCAGCTCCAGTAGGGCTCTCTGAAACTTTCCTGTTCTCTGGAAAGCTCCTGATACCATGTGATCACTTGTCTACATCTATTCAGCCTTAGCCCTCCCAGCAGCTTGTACAAGCCAGTAATAAAGGACACACCAAGCTGAACTTGAAATAAGATGAGTGCTTAACTGTTATGGAAAGTATGGCAGGCTTGTCTTTTCAGGTTTTTCATAGCAGTTCCAGGACCACAATTTTGTGTCCAGTCAGAATGATGCTAGTTACATTTTCCATTTCTTCATTTTGTACTGCTAACCTTCACACATTGTTGATTCAATCCAGACATCGCCTCAAAGAAATCCTTACTGAGCACATATTGCCTACACAAGGATCCTTGGACATTTGAGGGTGTGAGAGAAAGAACATGCTCTTGTGTGGTGATTATAGAGCTGTCCAAGATCATTTGGGTTTCATTTTGCCTTCTATTTTCAGAAAATAAAATTGGATGCCAATAATGACATAAATAAAGCAGTACTAAGTCTAAGAAAAAAATCTCCCTGGCAGCAATCTCTACCCCCAATGCCAATTTAACCCTTACTGTGCTTGTACTGAAAGTATTCTAGAACTTTTACCATGAGGTTACTACATTCTAAATCTCATGATTCTTAGCTGTAAAGAACCACAGACCACCAGTTGGGCTTCCAGCTCTTGGCAATGGTGGACCCTCCAGCACTGCAATGAGATAGTGCTAAGGTGTCAGGCATCATGAGCATGGCAGATAGAGAGATAAAGCCATCTTGCCAGGATGAATGAATTCCCAGAGACTGAGATACAACAACTAGAAGTCTTAGGTGCCTGTAATATTTCACCAAGACCCCAAAACTGTCTTCTCTAAGACTGCAGGGGGACATAGCGTTCATTATAATTTATTTTGTGAGATAGGATAAAGTAAGTGAGCAACATATCTTTTCTTCACTTGAACTGTACCCTTTTAAAAAAATCTTTACTGTTTTCTGTTTGAAATAGCTGTAAGTAAATCCCCCACCTTTCTAGTGCTCTGTCTCTATGATTTGCCTTTGAAATCTGCTAAAGTTTCCTCTCAACAAAAGCTGCATCACAAGTCTTTCTCTTCTTGGAAATATTTTCTTCCACATGAACTTAGAAAAAGGCCATGCCTACCTCCTAAAATATCATTAGGACTTTTCTTCTAATGTTTCATAGTTAAGTAAAATTTTTTATTCTCAATTTCTAAGCCTTCTAATTGTATTAATGTGGAACAGAGGTTGGATTACATGAAATGGTCATCTGATATCTATTGAAATGAATGACTTCTGCCACAGATTCACCAACTGCAGATGGAAAATATTTTTAAATTGTATCTGTAGTGAACATGTACAGATGTTTTCTTGTCATTATTTCCTTAGCAACACAGTCTAGCAGACACTTATACAGCACTTACTCTTTGTGAAGTAAGATATGCATAGCATAGATATAAATGCTACCCCATCTGTAGGAGGGTCTTGGCTGTCCATCATTTTCCATATTTGCAGGTCCAGCAACCAATCCCCTGTTCAAGGATGTTGGTGGGCAGGCTGACTTCTTAATTCTCACTATGTGATTCTTCTGCTGTCACAGGGCAGTGCTCCTTTGTTTTGTTCTGTTTGAACCTTTATGGCTCTAAGCTTCAGGGCCTCTACATTCTTTCAACCCCTTCCATAATGTAAGCTGGCTCTTGCTTAATGTATTTCTTATATTTCTCTAACACCTTGACTCCTGGAAGACCCACCTCTCCATGATCCCTTTTGCTGAAATGCTTCAGATGGCACACATCTGAAATCTCTACTTCCATTTCTGGCCTGAACACTTTTGACTGTCTGCTCTATCTTTGTAAAGTCTTTTCATTGTTCCTTGAGTTCTTGCTCAATTCAGCGACCTTATCCATAAAAGCCTTCTAGGCGGCTCCACCTCCCTCTCCGTCATTTTCCAGTGACACACATGCTTTATATTATAGAAGTGCTGGCACTGGATTGCTTGCCTTTTAATAAGGTTCCACAAATGTTATTTTGCACTCCTCATTGTAAGTACCTCAAAAGGAGGCTTATGACCAAGAATTCCATCCCACAGTAATTTATATTACTCCTTCATTTATATTATACTCCTTCAGTATAATAGCCAGTGAAACCAGCTGAGCAGAGGAACACCTCTCCACTGTATAGATTATGAAATTGATGTTCAGTAAGTTTCATCATACCAAGACTTCTGCTTTAAGTTCAAAATAGATTTGTAGAAGAGTTATTTCAATGCCTGACAAAGCATTTCTTTGTGGGAAAACTTAAAGAAAACACCAGATAGCTCTCCACACCATTTTAAGGACTTAAAAAAAAAATTTTTTTTTTTTTGGTATTTTTGAGACAGGGTCTCCCTGTAGTCCCAGCTGTCCTGGAACTCACTATGTAGACCAGGCTGGCCTTGAACTCACAAAGATCTGCCTGCCTCCGCCTCCCAAGTGCTGGGATTAAAGGCGTGCGCCACCACGCCCAGCCCTAAATTTATTATTTTTATTTTATGTGTATGAGTGTATTGCCTGCATGTATTATAAAAACACCTGTGTCCTGAAATGCCCATGGAGGTCAGAAGAGGGTATCAGATACCCTGGAACTGGAGTTACAGATGACTGTTAGCTGTCATGTGGGAGTTGGGAACTGAACCCAGGTCCTCTGCAAGAGCAGCTGGCTAGTGCTCTTAACTATTGAGCCATCTCTCCAGCCCCAACAGTGCTGCCATGTGAGTGCTGGGAATCTAACCCGGCTCCTCTGCAAGAGCAGTCAGTGCTCTTAACCACTGAGCCATCTCTCCAGCCCCCATTTGAAGGGTTTTAACATATATGGATAAGTCAATCAGCTTTCGGTCCCTGCAACACAGTCCTGAGAGAGTCAGCTTATAAAGAGGAAAAGTTTTGGTATATGGTCAGTTGGTGCCACTGCTTTTCAGTCCATGGTGAGACATTGCTTCACGAGGTGCCTGGTGAGCTGAGGTGAGGTGAGGGAGTACATGGTGAAGCAGTGACAGGACTGAGTGGCACAACGAGCCTCTCGCCTCAGCTTCACGGCAGCAGGAAGAAAGAGAAGCATGAGGGGACAAGGGAACCAGGGCTCCGCAGTCCCCTTTGAATACATTCCCCAGTGCCCTAAGACATCGTGCTAGGCTCCGCTTCTTGTTTGTTTTTCTTTCTTTTTATTTACTTTTTAACTTAATTTAATTTTTGAGACAGAGTCTCCCTGTGACCCCAGCTGGCCTGGACCTCACTGTGTAGACCAGGCTGTCCTTGATCTCCATATCAAAACTATTGCCAGAGATAATCTGTATTCTGTAATGATGATTTGTAAGGCCTCTGGAAATATGATACTGATCTATATGGTTGTAGACCTCTGTCTTTTTGTCTAACAATTACAGTATATGGGCATCTGCACTTTAATAATTGGCCATCTATTTGCATGACATTTATATAATTAAGAGTGTGTCATCTCTCTTGAGATAAAGCAGGAATCAAAAGAAAACAAGACTCAGAACTGGAGACTCCCTTGTGCAATTTACAGCTTCTGATAAAGCATCTTTCATGAAGCAGGTGTTCAGTTATGACTAAATAAATACGAGAATAAAAGACACAACATCATGCTCTGGGGGAGAAAAGAATGGATTTTATGCGTGACTAGCATATAAAAGACTTGACGGAATAGCTGTTTTTCACAGTAGCACATATTCATGGATAATAACTCCCACATTAAAATTTATAAGGTTTGTGTGTCAATTTTTTGTTAGGATTTCTATGTCATTTTTTTACTGGTACCCTTCTAGACCTGAGTAGAAACTCACTGTATCTCTCTACAAAGAGAGATACTCAGCATCTGATGGTATTACAAAGGGGCTTCACTGCTTTGGCAAGATGTCAGTAAGGAAGGCACCAAATTAATTAAGAATGTAAACTGAATTAGAAAACATAGTTTCATATTTAGAATCTTCCTCTTCTTCTTTGAGTGTTGTTTTGAGACAAGATCTCAATATGATTCATCTAGAACTCACTTTGTAGACCAGCCTGGCCTCAAACTTTACCTACCACCTTTGCCTCTCAAGTGCTGGGATTACAGGCATGCAGTGCCACACCTTGAAGGATAATTACAGGTTTTTTTTAGTTTTTTGAGGCTGGGTCTCCCTGTAGCCCCAACTGGCCTGGAACTCCTAATGTAGACCAGGGTGTACTTCATCTCATAGAGATCTGCCTGCTTCTGCCTCCTGAGTGCTAGGATTAAAGATCTATGCCATCATTCCCAACAATAGTTAACTTTTTGTAATTATCATTCTATATTTTGCAATGAGGGAATTAATATGTTAATATAGTCACAATATAGTTAATATAATCAAGATAAAATGTATCAAGATTAACAAATGATAATTATCAAATTATGTAACATCAAACATTAGAAGTTATATATCTTAGCAGAAGTCTAGGTGGCTAAATTTATGTCTACCTTGATAGAGTTCTCTTGAGAAACTTGGGTGAATCATATTCATCTCAACTGTGTATAGGAACAGAGGAAACCATTGCAAGCCATTTGTGAGATCAAGAAATGTATTTGTGAAACGAACTCTCATATACTGCAGAACAGAAATCCAATTGAGGTGAAAAGTAGGCTGCATTTGTGGTAAAATGCTTTGTGTTTCCTCTTTCCTTGCCTGGCAGTCTATACTTGAGGCTATTCCAGATATTCCTGTTCACGCCAATGGATCTGCAGACGCTGGGCAGTCAGTTCAGAATACGTTGAGTGGTGAGTGACCTGCCCCCTGGTGAGCCTGTGCTGTGCCTTCTGCCTTTGGGTTTGGCATCCATCAGTTAGTCTTGAGTTTCTTTTCTACAGATATGTATATAATATGTATTGATGGGGCACCATGTATGTATGATGTTTCACTGTATGCATACATTGTATAATGTCTGCACCAGGTAGAACGTACTTATCTCCTAAATGTGTGTCATTTCTTTGTGGTGAAAACTTTCAAGTTCCTTTCTTCTAGGATTTTGATTTAATTGTTATCTCTAATCACTGTGCTTCATGACAGCACCCTGGAACTTCTTAGTCTTGTGTAACTGTATGCAGTGCTCAGTTCACCTCTCCACATCCTTCTCTCCACCCGGCAAGATGTGTGTTATGATTCTATTCCAGCACTCACTGTCCCACTCGACTCTAAACATCCCATTTTGTCACAACAAAATTGACCCAACTTAATGGGACAGGGACTGTTTCCTTCCTTCACTTCCACCACATGAGGTAGGAGTTTCTCACTTGGGCAGTGGCTTTGACCTGGACCTCTTTTAAAGTACTATGGATTGCCCAGATATTACAAGGAGCCCAAGAAGTGGCCTCATCCGAGGCTCCCAGTTACTGAGGAAGTGTATGCTGTACCAGAGCATCTTCCGACATGCAGGCTCATAGGCTGACTTTCATCTGAGCCTCTACTTCAGAGGTGAAACCCCTTCATGGGCCCAGAATGGAATCCTCCTGCTAGAGGCTGGCTCCTTCAGGCCTTGTCCCTGTGATTCCTCAGTCTTCCTGAAATACACACGCTCTCTGTAGAAACACAGCCCATGCTTTCACCGTTCATGTCAAACGAAAGAAGTTGAGCTGATGAAAGTGTTCAAAATTGATCATGGTGATGATTTCCCCACTCTAATATACTAAAACACCATTGGCTTTGTACTTCAAATAATGAACCTCATGGCACATGAATTGTTTTTCAATAAAGCCAATACCAAGAACAAAATAATCGAAGAGATTTGCCAGAAATGGTGTCCTGCCATTCTGTTCAGTGCCACACTGTACTCGAGTTGCAACCATGCTGTAAGGGATAGAAGCCTGCAGCCATAAGCCAGCGGTGCAGACAGTCTGCCTGCTTAGTCGCTGTGCTCCTAAGACTGTATCTGTAGATTTCTAAGAAGTCAGAGTGCTATTTCACCACTCTCCTTCCTCTGTGTTCAGTGTAAACCTCTCCATGACAAGTGAACAGTCATAGCTGTCCCTTTGCCATTTTCTAACTCCTTACCATAGTTGTCTTTCAATTAGTGTTCGTATTAAAAACTGTTAACGTGTTAGTTTATGAATTTCTCCACCAATTCTGCCATTTCCCTTTTGCTCCTCTTGATCTCCCTTTTGTCATGGTCCTAAGAAGAAAGCAGAGGAGAAGGTGTTCTGTGTATAATCAAATAATTCATTGCTTTGCTCTTGAAAAAGAAGGTTCATCAGGTAGTAAAACAAAATGACAAATCAAAATTTTAGTCAGAAATCAGAGTTTAGGATTGTACAACTGACTTATAGATTCCCATAGTTTTGGTCAAGGAATCATTTCCCTTAGTTTGCAGGCTAGCTTGAGAAAGAAGGGAATGTTCTTACTACTCAGTCAGGTTCTTCTTAATCTGGATCATGCAAGTTTAGGTGACCAAGATGGAATTGTAGAGATTTAGAATAAACTTCCAAAAAAATCCTAGCAGTGAAGTTCGTATTGGATTGAAACAAATCAAGAGGCAAATATCAAGCTAATAAAAAATAAATTAAAACAAGAAAGAGGCGTGTGAATGTAGAGGGGAATTTTAGGAAGACGTGTCCCCCTCCTCTTCTCCAAACTTCTGGGCTTCCATTAAGTAACTCTGGGTCTAGATGGAGTTACTTTTTTTTTTTTCCTCTTCTTTTGGTCTTTTTGAGACAGGGTCTCCCTGTAGCCCCAGCTGTCCTGGAACTCACTATGTAGACCAGGCTGGCCTTGAACTCACAGAGATCCGCCCGCCTCTGCCTCCTGAGTGCTGGGATTAGAGGCGTGCGCCACCACGCCAGGCCTTATAAGAATGCAGAAAAATACTCCATTGGGTACTTTTTTGTCCAGTTCTCAAAAACTTTTATGACACATAAAAGTTTAAAAATTTTTGAATCAGATTGGACAACTTTGGCAATTCTGATAGATATGTGTCCATACAGAAGCTGGGTGACACACGTCATCACCTAACTGAACCTCATGGGGAGCCAGATGCTGTTTCCTGGATTTAAGCATTCCAGCATGCCTGTGGGTTACCTTGTGGAAGTTTATGGTTTAGTTTACAGCAGATGGTGTATAATTGGCCAAGTGACGTATTAAATTCTTGTACCTTGTTTTTTTTAGACGATGATTATCTGGAAAAGAACATTCCTCCAGAGGTTGAAGAGCTATCCTTTGAAGTATCCTACTCAGAAATGGTTACAGAGTCTCCGAAAAGACATAAATGGAAGAAGTCAGACATTAAGAAAGAAGACTATGTTTTAACTGTAAGTAAAACCTTTTATGATCAACCTAATAGTTTCCTGTGACTTCTCTCTGGGCCAAAATAAGGATTTGTTTTCACCTCTGTATGTGCGTAAACCTGGACACCAGCATGGTCTGTGTCATTGGGTATGCCTAGATACATTGCCTTGCACGTGTATCTCATGTAATCCAGATTACAGGCCCATGTGTTCACTTCTGATGCTTAGCACATGTGCTGCTTGATGGCTCCTTGTGAGAAGGCAGCTGTCAGGCTTGGGAGAGCATTTCGTGAGTAAAGTAGTTGCCACTCAAGTGTGATGGCCTGTTCAGTTTCCCAGCATCCATGTGAATCTGGGCATGGTGGAGCCCATCTGTAATCCTAGTGCTCCTGTGGTAAAATGAGAAGCAGCAACAGAATGCCCAAAGCTCACAGGCCAACCAGCCTGGCGTTCTCAGCAGCCAACAATAAAGAGACTCTGTCTCAAACAAGATGGGAGGCAGAGACACCAGAGTTGGTCTCTGACCTCCACTTACACACCAAAGCATGCATACCTGTATTCACACACATGAACCTGCACGTGCACACACACATAACACACAAAGTTTTTTCTTAAAAAGGCAGTTTCCAAGATTATGTTGGCATTATCAAATCCCTCAGACTATTTTACTTCTAATTAGCATTGTAGTGATCTGCAAATGTTCTACAAAGCATACAAAGCATTTCTGTGACCCAGCAGGTTCCCAGAGGCTCTTTTGCAAATGTGTTTTATTTTGTAGATTTAGACTGTTCCAGTTTCAAATGGTGGTCTGATTTCCTTAGCCTCAAAAATAAACCTCTTCACTCTGTATTTTAGAAATTTATTGTTCAAAAAACAAGATTTGGGTTAACAGAAACAGGAGACCTCTCTGCTGAAGACATGAAGAAAATCCGACATCTGTCTCTGATTGAACTGACTGCCTTTTTTGATGCTTTTGGGATTCAGCTGAAAAGAAACAAAACAGAGAAAGTAAAAGGCCGAGGTAACTAGGAGACAACTGTTAAGTCAATTCTGAATAAGAGAATGCTTTTCTGACTCTTGTTTTTCTTTCTCCTTGGCTATTCTGTACCACAGACAATGGGATTTTTGGAGTTCCACTTACAGTCCTCCTGGACAATGATCGGAAGAAAGACCCTGCAGTAAAAGTTCCCCTTGTGTTACAAAAAGTAGGTATCATGCAGATGAGTGGGAGAACCAATAAGCTCACAATGGCTTTTCTTTCACACCCAAAGACAGTGAACCCCTATCATCAGGCCCATAGTACTTACAGCTTTATCTCAAGCATCTTTACAATGGGCCATAGGCACTTAGATCATTTGGCCTTTGTATTGGTCCATTTTTAACTACTGTAATAAAATGCCTGATACTTGCTACTTATAAGAAAAAGAGTGATTTAGCTCATGGTTAGGAAGGCTGACATTCTAAAGAGCATAGTGTTCTTCAGGTAAAAGCCACCTTGACTGCATCACCATGGCAGATGGAAATCAGTGCTGGGAGTATGTGTGAGAGGGAAAGTTCACACTGTCATGTAGTCAGTGAGTGAGAAGGGTCCAGTAATGGCCTCCCATTAGGCTCCCTGTGTTAAAGTTCCACCATCGCATCATCACAGAGGACCAAGCTTCCAGCCTTGAGGGAAAAGCCACATCCCACCTCAGCAGCTTTCCTATATACTATGGGAGCTTGTACATTGTTTGACCATGAGACGCTAGGGGACAAGCACAGATGTTCTTTCTTACAGTTTCCTTCAGTTATAGTTTTCCAGATGTTACTTGTGCATATGTATGTGTTTGCATGAATTTTTGATTATTCTGTTTAGATAAAAACCCAAGTTATTAGCAATATATTCACTGATCATGTAAGTGTTTGCTGAGATGTATGATAAGCTGAATTCTTCAATGTACATGTATATACATTTGAAAAATGTGTAATAATTTTATGTACTTTCCAAACTCAGATTAATAAAGTCAAGATTTAGTTTGTTCCAGTGATTTTTCAAGTGCACACAAGATACAGTAAAGGCAGAAGAATCCTGATGAGAGCAGTTTTTGAAAGTTATATCTCAACTATCATATGCAGATGTCTCTATCATTGTGAAATAGCTGATTTACTTTTTAAAGGGTTTTTTTACGATTTATTTTTAATTTTGTATGCATGTGTGTCTGGGTGTATATATCCCCATATATGTGCAGATGCCCTCAGAGACCAGAAGAGGGCATTGGATCTCCTGAAGCTGGAGATATAAGCACTCGTGAGCTACCGGATATGGTTGCTGGGAACCAAACTCTGGTCTTCTGGAAGGGCAGTACACCCTCTTAACCCCTGGGCCATCTCGTCAGTCCCATAGCTGATTTATGTTTAACTCCTTATTTTGTTTATATTGACACATGCTTACCTGTTACTCAAGGGTGGCATCCAGTGACACAGTTAAAATTCCAAGCCCTTGCAGACCTTGTTGGGTTTTAAGTTGTTTGTAAATGATACATAAAAATGTTGACTGAAGCAACATAGTTGCTTTACTCACACTAACAATTCTGTGTCCATTCCTCTTCTCCCTGCATTTTGCTATCAGCACCTTAAACTGAGCTGCTTCCTCAGATTGGCCAGGATGGAGTAGGGAGAGAGGCAATGACTGCTTTCATCTCTGTGCACAGGGTTCATCCACGAGACACCTCCCCTACAGGGCTGTACTAATGATGTCATATCCTGTGTAGTCAGCATGGAGCAGCCCAAGGAGGCTACTGTTTTTATCTCCTTATTAACCAGGCTGCTGGGGCACAAGAGATGAGATAACTTACCCAGAACCACTTCACAAGCTAAGGCCGAATGGGGAAAAGAGCACATCAAGTACCCTAGTCCAAAGTTCTGTGACTATGGTTTTTTCCCTTTTCTAAAGCCAATCTAAGACAGAGGATTCATCACAAGGTTTTGCCATGTAGTTATAAAAACCTAGAATAAATTTGGCAGCTAGTGTCAAACAGGAGGTATGCAATGAATGCTAAATGAGCTAAAGATTTATATCAGGTTTGCAACTCAGTAAGTGTCAGCAGCTGTGCCCACTAATGTTGACTTCCTCCTTTAACGCAATTTGAGTTTGAGATGATATTCCTCTAGTCCTGTGGAGGTTTTTCTTACACACACATTCCTTCTTTCTCCATTCCTAGAAGAATCACCTTAGTTCTAGCACTGAACCAGAAATGCTAGAGTTTCCTCTTAGCTGTGTGAACTTGGGAAGATTATTTGACTTTCCCCAGTCTCCTCAGCAGGACGTGGGGTATCGGCACCTATTCTCAGAAGTGATTATGTGCAACATTCTTAAAACAGGGTCCAACCTACAGTAAATGAAGTCAGTGGAAGCCCTTCCTAGTAAAGCTCGGCCACCATGAGAATTTGGGAGCAATTAAGTCTTACAATCTAACTCTTTGGTTAGACCTCTAGAATTCCTTTCTGTTCTTAGCCAGGGTCTTTGCAAATGATGATAGTAGATTTAGAATCTATTCTTAACCTGGTTGAACAATAAGATCTTAAAAGGGTCAACTGGGCAGAATAATATGGAAGTTAAGAGAACATGTCCAACAGAGTCAGTGCCCTTGCTTAAGAGGTGATCTTCGGAAAGTTACGGCACATTTAAACAAATGGAGAATTCACTCATTAGCTAATTGGAGGTTAATGGTGAACTTGTCATACAGTCGTACACGTTTGTAAATCCTTTAAGTATCAGGCACAAGTGCACACTTGGTAATCTGCTGATGTCTGCTCTCATTATTTCAAGTGTTTGTAGTCATGTAGAAATCATTCATTTTGTAACGTATCTGCTTTCTAGTTCTTTCAGAAAGTTGAGGAATCAGGTCTGGAATCGGAAGGAATTTTTCGACTTTCAGGATGCACTGCCAAAGTCAAGGTACCCAGTGTTTTCTCTCTTTCTAGAAAAGATGTAAGCTAGCTAACCCCAGCTCCAGGGAGCATCAGAAATCTAGCCTTCGTGATAGTCATTGTTCATTTGATTCCATCATGCAGCCTGTCCTCGTATGCTTTGGTACCTGCTTATATGTTTGTTCCATGATGTCATTTTTAAAACTTAGCATAATGGAACAATCAATTCACCATCAAAACTGTTGCTTGTCTTTCATTTGGAACTTTGAAACACTGATCACCCTTTGAGGGATTAACCCTTCTCCGTCTGTCATGTTCCTTTGCTTTTGGAGGTCACTGAGCTCATAACATACTAGCTTGTATTTCCCTTACCAGTTGCTCTCACTGAGAAGCATTCTTGGGCTTTTCTTTTGGTTGAAGTTCTTGTAAGGCTTTATGGCAATGTCCGTAAACACTGGCATACTCACTCAGCAGCCCTGAAACCCACTTCCATGTATGGTAATGTCAGTGTCTGCATACCACAACAGCCGAGCAATTGAAACCTTTTGCTTTGCCTTATTTCCATATGGTGGCAAGCTCCTGAAAACAGTAAAGAGTCTTTGAAGCGAAAAATCTTTTCTCATAAATTTCTAGTAAAATATCCCATCATATGTCCTGATGGATATACACAATGAAGAGTTCATGCCTGCCCTTGGATCACCCCTGACTGTGGATCCTGAGAAGGTCTCAGTGGTGATAGAAAAATGATTTGATTGCAGTTGAACTATCAAAGAAAATGCACCAAGCAGAAAAACATTCTTTTTAAAATTTATTTTAGTACATGTTTTGGGTGTTCTCTCTCTTGGCATCAGAAGTGTCAAAGCTTTTATGCAGAAGTGTAATGAGATGTTTTTGGTAGAAAGAGAACAAATAGGCTGTGTCTATTGGATCTTCCAGAGCAGAGATGAATTAGCTGCGGAAGAGAGCTGATGGGGCACTGTGCTTCTGAAAGGTAGAGGGACAGGTGAGCCTCTGGCTATGGTGCAGACCTGACAGTTCCTCCCCACAGGGAAGCCCTGTGCTGGGTAGAAAGTTCCAGACCTGGACCATCCCCAATACTCAGCCACAGACTGGGCTTCCTTCCAAGAAGAGGGTTATGACAGATGTAGGCTATGACCAGCTGAGACAGTCCACAGTCTGCTACATGAACTTCTTACAGATTAATGTGCCAGGCTCTCTTTTGAGGGACTATCTGGCTTGGGAAGCAGAGCACATTGGGAGTTAGGACTCCCCTGAGTGAGGATCTGACTAAACACTAACACTTCATTTGGAAGGCAGGTAAATTCCCAGTGGCTCCTAAGGGATGTACTTTCTAAATGGAATCTTTTTGTTTCATTCTTAGATTTGCTTCTGAGCAAATGCATCCTAAATCTGAGTGTGAAAACTAGTGCCTACTTGGTTGTCTTCAGTTATCAGCACAATCAGACCTGAAAGAAAGCCAAAGGAAACAAATTTCTTACCAGAACCAGAGTATATTCCTCTAAACCTCCCTGTCTACTTGGGAGACTGTTTTTGCACAGATCCTTAACTGGTTCTATGTGTGTGTGTGTGTGTGTGTGTGTGTAATATGTGAGTGTGTGTATATGTGCATATGCATGCATGGGCTTATACAAAACATAATGAATATGATCTAAATTTCCTTTTTCTAAGCAACCAAGGAGAGAAACGTGTCTTACATGCACAAAGTTTGACAACAGAGCAAGAAGTTACTTTTCTTCAGCTAATTTTGACTAAAAATTGCTAACTAAAGGCTAATCATCCCTTCAAAGTGTCCCCACAGACACACACATTCCTGAACCACATTTAGGGCAAAGTCTCTTTCTCCCCCTAATGGGTTTTATGTTGTGTCAGCCTATTTATCCCACCGCTTGTTAGTGCAAAGATGTGATCCAGATGTTTTCATAGTTCTGGCTCCAGGAAAGCTAACATGAAAGAAATCTGGGCCAGTGAGCAGAACAGGGAAACACTGCAAGCAGAGAGGCACTGGGCTTGTGTTCCAGGGGCCTTTGTTTCTCTCCTTTATTCAAACCTTCAGCTATATTTCCTTGTTTAAGTGTTTGCTTTGCTTTGATTTGATTTTTGTAATTTTATCCATGGAAATACTTTTTCTAGGAATGTGCTTGGGTAAAGACACTTAAAATTAAGGGGGAAAAAAAAGCCTCATCTATTATAATCATCTTGACTTGTGCCAAGTAAGTAACACCAACTAATTAGACCACACTGGCATGGACTTTGGATGCTTGCTGAGACCCACAGGGACTCAGGCCTAAGAGGAAGCAGCTCAATGGGAGCCAAATGGACACAAGTACAGAGCCAGCTCCTGAATTTGAGGCTTCAGATCACTTGGAACCAATTTAATGCTTTGGAGTATTCAATGATTTTCCTTTCAAAACATGGCAGAAATTTGAGCCAAACACTGGGAGCGTATTTTACAGATGAAGGCAGACTGTTGGATGTGCAAGGTTTTCTTTTTGACTTGTTTCCACTATTCTGAAGTGGCTAAGGTGTGCTTCATACTTATTACCTGGTGTGTTGGTTTCTCTCCCTGAGCCCCATGGCTTCAGGCTAGTCATTTGCCTTTGTGTAAAAGCACTTCAGAAAATGAAGCAGTTGTGTTTGTGGCGATTTAAGAACAGGACTTTTGACTCTGTCTTGTCCTTAACAGTAGCAAAAACCATGGCTTTATTTTGGGGTATTTGATTGTTTGTTTTTGTTTGTTTATTTTCAGAGACAGTGTCTCACCATTTAACCTAGGTTTGTCTCACACTCACTATCCTGCCTTCGCCTTCTAAGTGTTGGAATTACAGGCAGGTACCAGGCTCAAAGTGTATGTACCACAGCAGTGGGCTGGACACAGGTTCTTCACTCTCTATGTGCTCCTTGCTTTGGAGCAGGGTAGGTCAGGAAGTCTGGTGTGTTAGTGAGCTGACTCCAGCTGCCTGGTGTTAGAGGTAAACCTTGTAGTTCAAGGGAGTAGTAGAAGATGCATTTGACTTTGTTAAAGCACAGACAATGGGAGCCACAGATAAACAGATGAACTAACACAGATTTTTCCAAGTAGAAACTTAACATGAGCAGAACTTAGTGAAACAGCGCTTTAAAAAAAAAAACAAAAAAAAAAAACTGATGTACACTATGCTCCAAACCTTAGGAGGGGCTGAGCAGGCATGTGGGCATGTGGAAGATGTGTGTGTGTGTGTGTGTGTGTGTGTGTGTGTGTGTGTGTGTTGGCAGAAAACTGCTGTACTCCATCCAGGAAGATGTCACTGGTCTGTATGCTGCATGAGGGCAGAGTTGCTTTATTGGGACATTTCTCACCATTCCGTATGTGAAAGTGCTCAGAGGCACACATCCATGGTCTACTGTATGAACAGAAGTGAGGCTAGCAGAATGATTAGGAAAGGAAAAAGAGCGGGGGTTTGGTCAAAGTCTAGCAATGCATTTATCTTATGGGAACTGTGGTATCCTGCCCAAACCACAGAAATGAAACTGTGGAGCTAGTAAACAACTTTTATATTTGTGAAGAATTAGCAAATTATTTCATGATTGATATTATTCTCAAGGTCTTTTTGAGAACACTTTTTAAAAATTAATTCACAAACAGGTATTTCAGCTGTTATAATCATGTTGAAAGAGTTAGAGTTAATAGATGTTGCCTTGTGCATCTGCTTGCCAAAACCTAGTTTATGTAATAATAGTTATCAGAGGAGACAAGTGGACCAGGTGCTTAAAAAGTCATTAAATATGGACTGTCCTCCTTGCTTTGCAGCAATACCGTGAAGAACTGGATGCCAAGTTTAATGCTGATAAGTTTAAATGGGACAAAATGTGCCATAGAGAAGCAGCAGTAATGTTGAAAGCATTTTTCAGAGAACTACCCACCTCACTCTTCCCTGTGGAATATATACCTGCCTTCATCACGCTAATGGAAAGTAGGTGAAGACGTTAAATCTGAACGAACCAAGACATAAGGTCAATAGAGTGACCAAGCCACTGAGATGTGCATAAAGAAGTGTGATCTCAATGTGGACACTCAGTGTTTCCTGATGACACTGTACTGAAATATCATTTAATAGTAAACATTCATGCATTTGCATACTTATATATGTAAATCTGATAGGTGTTTCTAAGAAGTCTTTATAATCATTAAAAGGCAGAGGAATTTGATGAACGATCAGGCTCTTGAGATTTGAATTCATCTGTATTCATCTGTTAACCAGGTGGTCAGGCCGTCTGAACCTCATTGCTACACCTATAATATGAATAATAATTATGGTTGTGATGTTGGGTAATAGTCCACCCCGAAATATGAGGTCCCTCTCCTCCTGAAATCTGAAGTCCTGGAGTGATGATACACCATTGTAATAAGTGCTATTCATTTTGTCTCTGAAAGTAATAGTATCATGCAGTATTTTTGAAGACTATGAAGTCTTATAGATTGGATCTTCAGTGAAATACTTTATTAAAAGCACTCTAACTACAGTGCATGCCATAGTTAACAGTCAGGAAATTTGACGTGTTCAATATAAAAGTTGAATCTTGTGGAGGATATGAGAGGCAAACATTAGAAAAATGGAGCTAGACAGTGGGGGGTTTGACTACCAAGCTAGGAAACTTAGGGGTCACAAGCCAAGTATGTACGCACATGTCAAGTAGATGGTAATCCTATAAGAATAGGAAAGGCTGTGGCCAGGGGACACATCCCATCCAAAGCCACTGACCACTGCTTGGCTCTAGTTGTACATGACCTAGAGTCAAATCAAAACTCTCATGGGGAAATCTTACTTTGAAAATGTCAGCCACATATTCAAATTTTAAAGTGCTCTTAAATCTGTTGTGGATTTAACAAAACATACCAGTACCTGCCCATTTACAGCCTTTTGCGGGTTGATCAGAACTCTAAATTCATCAAAACCCCAATGGAAAAAAAAATAGTATGCCCTAAAGTGTACAACAAAATTTGCATGGAAAATTAGTAGCTTGAAATATTTTAAAATGTCAGTTAAACCAGATTTGTAGAATAGTCCTTTGCATCTTCAGTAAGAGAATACAATAACTAAGGCACATGTTGTCTGTGGCCAATATCCATTTTCTTTGTAAGATCTGGTCTTTTTGTTTCTTGAAATTTGTTGAGAAAGAAAAGCTAAATTCCCTTTCATCTTTTTTTCAGACTTGTATTTTTTTCAGTTCTAGAATTCCCAATTGGTGATTTTTAAATATTTTAATTTGCATACTGGCATGCCCTAACTTTTCATTCATAACCGTATTTTCCTTCACATCTTTGAGTGTACCGCCTTGAGCTGCTTCAAACACTTGTCTGCTAGTTCCAGGGTCTGAGTCAGCTCACTGGTGATCTCTGTCTTTTTTGAGAATGGATATATGCTCTATGCTCTTCTGACTTTGTATGTGAAGCTAAACTCTATCCTGAATATTATGTTTGTAGACTCTAAATTCTATAGTATTCCTCTAAAAACTGCTGGTATGGCAATTCTAAGTTCATTGTGTGTGTGTGTGTGTGTGTGTGTGTGTGTGTGTGTGTGTGT